CTGTCTCTCCCTCTCTCTCAAAAATAAACAAACATCAAAAAAAATGTTTTTAATGAACAAATGTTCCCACCTACCCCAAAGAGAAGTCAAGTCACAGACGTCTAGTCCTAGGCCAGGGGAATCTCTTGCTTTTCCAAACAAAAGCAAAAACCAAACAGCACTTTCTTATTTGTGTGAATTCTACAAAGATGTTTAATGAGATGTGGGGGGAAGGCGAGCGTCATGAATGCAGACCCAGCTTGGCATGGCAGGTGTCCAGCAGGGACACGTCTGTGTGACCCATGACTCATGGGCACTGTCTCTGGAACCTGGTCCTGTGTTCACCTCCGGTGAATAGCAAGATAACTATGGTCATAGTAATGCTAGGACTAGTCCCTACCATCTCTCCAGAACTTACCATGTGCCTGACCCTCTTGCTACGTGCCTGGCAAGCAGGAGCTCCTGGACGCCATTTTGTTCCTTCTCCTTCAACCCTATAATCACTCACGTGTGCGTGGTGTCAGATACACGCAGAAGATCGACCCAGGGCACCGTATGAGTCTGCCCATAAGCTGGGCAGCCTAAACGACGGAAATGTGGTTCCTCACAGTCCTGGGGGCTGGAAGTCCAAGATCAAGTGCTATCTCCTGAGGCTTCTGTCCTTGGCTTGCAGATGTCCATCTTCTCCCTGGGTCCTCACGTGGCCTTTCCTCCATGCACATGTATTCTTGGTGTCCGCATGTCCAAATGCCCTCTTCTTATAAAGCCACCAGTCAGATTGGATGAGCACCCACCCTAATGGCCTCATTTTGCTTCAGTTACCTCTTCCAAGGTCCCCTCTTCAAATACAGTCACAGTCTGAGTACTAGGGATTGAGTTTGGGAGGGGGTACACTTGGGTGTGTGAATTCAGCTCATAACAGGCAGTATTTCCTTTACTATAATCTTGAGTATGTAGGTGTTTAAGGGCTTTGAAAAATTAAGAAGTACTATCTCTCAAGCTTACACTGCCCTTCCTTACCTCACAACCCAGTTTATTTTACCTTCAGGTATATGTGTAATATTCGCAGCCTCCAAACTCTTGAAAACGTGTGAAGCCCCTTCCATTCTTAGAATTCTGAGCAGCTTCTTGGTAAGCCTGTCTCTAGTATCATTAAAAACCGAATTCTGGGCCCAGAGTCTCCCGGCTGTCTCCACCATGATGGTGTGATAGAATGTGGAGGATCTTGTCTAACAACCCCGGGACACAAGAGACCCATGACTCTCGTTGGCAAATGTTCCTCGCACAGCCGCTGGGCCTCAGGGATCTGTTGCCTCCCACGGACAGTCCAGGTGTGGGAAGAAGGGCTCACACCAGCTCATGGAGAGGTGAAGGGGTGTTCAGCAGAGCCCATGACCCTTCCTAGGGCTTGGGGGGGCATCACCAAAGATGCCAACAGAGGAACTGCACCCTCAGAAATGACCCCGCTCCCCAACACAGGGTCCCTGCTGCCTCTTAGAAAATGAAAAACCTAGGGACGCCTAGGTGGCTTAGTCGGTTGAGCATCCAACTCCTGATTTCAGCTTGGGTCCTGATCACGGTCATGAGATGGAGCCCTGTGTTGGGCCCTGCACTGAGCATGGAGCCTCTCTTTCTCTCTCTTTCCACTCCCCTCTGCCCCTTCCCTTGCTCATGCTCTCTCTCTCTCTCTCTCTCTCTGTCAAATAAAATTCAAAAATACCTTATCAGAGAATGAAAAAGTCCAGGACTCCCGTGTGGCTCAGTTGGTTAGACTCTTGATTTCGGCTCAGGTCATGATCTCATCATTCACGAGTTCGAGCCCCACATCGGGCTCTGTGCTGACAATGCAGAGCCTGCTTGGGATTCACTCTCCCTCTCTCTCTTTGCCCCTCCCCTGCTGCGCTCTCTATCTCGCTGAAAATAAATAAACATTTAAAAAAATGTAAACCCTATACTCTGGTTTCTCTTCAGATCGAATAAAAAAATGTAAACCCTAAAAAATGAAAAACCCTAAAGTGAATAGGTAATAGAGGATTTTCTACAACATGTAGAAGCACTTAGGTCAATTTATGGGGACTGTGAATCCTTTTCTCCAGAATCAGAAGTGAAAGTAAGGCTTTTCTTTTCCCATCTCTGTGAAATAACTATAGCTGCCATTGTCTGCATGGGAGCCCCTTGAAGGGGCTTCGTTGTCCCCATATAATCCCTGATACAGAAGACTGAGGTTCTATCACCACGAAGGCCTTAAGTACTCACAGAGGCCTGGGCAGTATCATTTTAGGGGGCTTGTACTTATTGGAAGTTCTGTATGCACCTTACATTC